GCATATAGACTAGCCTACAATGGCACAGAATATTTGAACTTGCTGCAGGTCTATAATCTTAATTGCATTTTTATGTCTGACATGCAATATCAGATAATTATTGATCAGTGGGAACGGAACATGTAATTCTTCAGCTGACCCCAAAATGCTGAAATAGTGGGAACCATCTGTAAGAAATGGTAAGACTTAACTGAGCATGCCCCTGGCTGCCCTCTACTGTCACCTCAATTCCAAGACTTGAAAATGGGAAGGGTTTCATGTGAAAAATTTACTCAAATGCATTTAGGTTAAAAATTATTTTAAAGTAACAACAATCAAAAAAGCACCAGTCAGATTGTGAATGTTGCAAATGTAAAGGTAGATGTTTTGTAACAAAAGGAGTGGAGGACCCTGGGACCATCAAGGATCAAGAGCGGAGTACGGGACCCTATCTATAGAGAAGCAGTGATGCCAGATATGGAAGCAGAGATGATGACGTGGAGAGATGGGATGGCTGGGGACTCTGGACTCAAGGAAGGAGAGGGGCTGTGTACTGGCAGCTGGGAGGCAGGCATACAGGATATACCCTTTGGTTGTTTGAATATTCCTGAGTGCTTCAGTGTACAGCCAAACCCCCCCCCCCAAAAAAAAACAGAGGAGTAGCAGCAAATGCTGTTGAATGATGCTGCATGGAGGGGATTGTAATCATTGCAATGAAATGAAATACAACGTAAAGCTGATGTTTTCCCACGTAAACTATCACTCAATTCACAATAAAAACTTAAAAAAAAAAAAGCATCAGCCATTCTTTCCTGTGAGAAACGAAATCTTCAGAGAGCCAAGAGAGATAGGAACTAGGAACCATATACCTCGGTGGGCAAGGGCTACACCTCGAAGCGTTCAGAAGCAACGCTGAGAGGCTTCCCAGCACACAGGGGGCAACAGGGGTGATATGTGAGTGTGGCACTGTGCCAGATCAACAGACTGACGTGGGAGGAGAAACCCTGGGGACCAGTGTCATCAATGAAGGGTCCCCTGCACACTAACCACAGCCACAGAAGGAACCCCACTCCAGAAGGAAGAGTGCTGGCAGGTTATAGACCTCTTCAGTGTGGTATCTCGTTATGCTAACCACAGTCACTCAGAGCATGAATGTCCCTGAAAGATGATCAAGTGCAAAGATTTGAAAGAACACCAACTTGCCTCACATTGTTGGTCAAAGCATAACATAACTACAAAGTGGCCCAGCTCATAGGGAGTCCTGGTGTGGCACTGTAGGATAAAGCAATGGACTGCCAACCACCAACCACTCCTTGGAAATCCTATACAGGAAGCAACTCAGGGGCACTTAACAACAGTCTGGCTCACAGTGGAGATGTGAAAATCCCTACAGAGTATTGGTTAGTTTATGCCTGGTAGTTAACCAAACTTCCGTGTGTCCATCTTCTTCATGTGGTTACACATGAAGATTTAGATATAGTAACGTTTTATTAAGGAGCCCTCATAGCACAGTGGTTCTGTGCTCAGCTGTTAACCAAGAAGTTAGTGGTTTAAATCTCCCAGTTGCTCCATAGGAGAGAGATGTGGCAATCTGCTCCTAGAAAAATGACAGCCATAGAAACCCTATGCACAGCTCTCCACTGTCTACAGGGTCACACTAAGTCAGCATTGGTATCAATTCAATACCAATGGCTTTGGTGGGGTTTACTACATTTTTAAATGTTTTATTAGCGTTTATTTTGGTTTTCTGAAAAAGTAAGTAAATGCCATGATTTAGTGGTAAAAGAAAACAGAATACTGTGGCTAAGTTTTACTAATATTAAAGTACCAAGCTACATATGCCTTACAACGATTAGCTAAAAAAAATAAAGCCTTGTTTTAATTCATCCACAGATACAAAAGGTGCATTGGAATATCTTCAAGCTAATGATTAAATTCCTAAGAAGATCCTTCCACGTGATTAACATGTAATTAATAAAAGATAACTTAATTGTCTCCTTTTGTAAAAGGGAAGGGAAGTTATAAACTACACAGTATCACTTACAACATTCACCTGAACTCTTTATCACTGCTCTACTCCACACAATCTGACAAAAAGATCATTTCACACTTTTCAAAGTATGATAGTCAAGACCAATCAGACCACATTCTGTGCTTACTACATATTACGCAAATGCTCATTTGCTACTTTAAAACTGAATCTTCCAGGAGTACAGTCTTTAAAAAAACAACAACTTTTCCCAGTGAAGGAGGCTTCCCACAGAGCCTCTACATTATATAAGACCATAGGTGGAATCCTGAACAGCATCCAGAATCTTCAGAGGTGGGAAATTTCCACTTGACAGGACAAGCAGACCAGCCTGGAGTGGCTAGAAGAACAGAAGATACTTCTTGAAAGAAAGACTGAGAGGAAAAATAGAAAACAATATAGGCAGACCAACTGATTACTTCAAGAACAAGCAAGTTCCTCGTCCAGGAGACATCAAGGTAAGTGGTCACGTCCCCTCAGGGCAAACCCCTTCCAAGACTAAGACTCAATGGGAATACATGCTCTGATTGGTGACCATGTTCATCACCAATAAGGGAAAGTGAGGGAAAAACAACAATGAAGCTGCAAGCTAAGCCCTACAAAGTTCAGTAGACTCTTGTGAACCCGGGTAGAGACCTGGTCAGCCAGCAGTGTGGCAAGACCTGGGGACTCTTGGGCCCAGAGTCAGTAACACAGCCACAGAGGACTAGAATGGAGAGTGAAGTGTCCAGCTGATAAGAGAGGGCATATGCACAAGAACACCCACACTTGCAGATAATACCCACTTGACCTGGCTTCAATGACTGGATGATCAGAGCTCAACCAGAAGAAGAAAGAAGAGGAAAAAAAGAGTAATCTGATACAATTTGATGAACTTGGCCTACACCTATGGATGCAGTAGCTCAAAAGAGGGAACAAATCCTTACAGCAAGAATCATTCCCACCCCTACCACACACAGAGTAGACAGGGATGGGCAACTTGGACACTGGCTACCCAAAAAGGGGAGGAGGGGGAGGCCTACAAAGGCAAGAAGTGACTGGCTTACAAGCTTTCAAGAGGGAACCTAGATCCAGAGGGCGCGGAGGAAGGTAGAATCTCCACTGAGTAGTATCCAATCTGTCTAGGCGGGGCTGATGAAAGGAGATGCAGATAGGTCTCTTGTGATACAATTGTGAGTAACTGTTATCAGGACTGACTGTGAGGGCTGGAAATGTAAAGGTGGACGTTATATAGCAAGGAGGGGAGTGATTAACTTTGCAGTCCAGGAGTGGAGGTTCCAGGGACCATGAAGGGAGAAGCGGAGAGCGGGACCCTACTCAGAGAAGCAGTGACGCCAGAGATAGAGGCAGAGACGTAGAGAGGGAGAGGGTCTGTGTGCTGCCAACTGGGGGGCAGGCTTGCAGGGTATATCCTTTGGTTGGTTGAAGATGCATGGAGGGGATTGTAACCATGGCAATGAAACGATACAGGATAGGATGAATGTAAAACTAATGTTCTCCTATGTAAACTATCACCTAACTCACAATAAAACATTAAAAACAACAACAAACTTTTAATTCTATTTGTAGACTGGTCTTTTTGCAACTCAGTTTCCAGTTAAATTATTGATAATCATTTTATTAATTAAATATTTTATATACCATCGAGAAGTCCTGGGGTAGTACTTTAGGATAAGCACTGGACTGCTAACCACAAAGTCAGTGGTTCAAACCCACAAGTTGCTCCTTGGAAGCGCCATACAGGGTTGCTATTAAGTTAGAACTGACTTGATGGCACTTAACAACAACAATATACACCATGGTTCAGTCACCCACTTTATAGGTAAATGAAGGTCCTCAAATTATTGTCCATTTCAACACTGCACCACATTTTCTGAATGAAATGCATTTAGAAAGATTATGTGTGTTTGCGATTAGTCAACTACGTTAGAATCTCAGTAATAATCATGCTCCCGAGAGTGACTACACAGAGTGGAGACATGCAGACAGAACTAAACAAAGAAAGGAAACTCTAAAACCCAAACTGCCTTCAACTTTAAGCCCAACAAACACTGATTCAAATACGTCTCCCATGTTCACCTCAGTGTTGCTGGTTCGGGTAGAGAGGAAAGAAGATGGACTGAGGGTGGTACTGAGCGGGCAGTGCTTTCTACTGTCCATCATGCACAGGGCTGACTGGACGGCTCCTGACAACAAAAAGGCACCACGCGGCAGCGCTTCTCACACCCACAGGCCGGCAGTATCTCCTCATCACTGAGGAGACAGCCACTTCGGAGGAGTAAGGTGGTTGCCCATGACTCACGTGGCTAATCACTGTTGGGTGGGGCTGGGTTTCAATAGTCGGTCCTATCCTCCCACAATGACCAGGGTCTTCAAGAGCTTTTCTCTGTGCCCATGTCACAGGGGGGGTTCTTAACGCGTGACCGTCAATGTTTCTGATACCAACCGCCCACCTCCCCAGCCTAGAGCCCAGTCACTGCACAGATCATACCCAAGAGGCCCAGGGGGCGGTAGGACCCATCCTACTCTACCACAAGGCTTTCAGTCTGTATTTTAAATATTATTAACATGGTTTTATTGGCTAACGCAAAGGCTGGGTTCGAAACTATTCCAGTAAAAAAACATGCTTATAAAAAGTAAAATACTTCATAAACCCTCCAAAAACTCCACTGTGATGAAGTGCATTCTGAGTCACAGTGTCCCAGGGGGTTCCGAAGGCTGTCAATCTTTACAAAAGCAGACTGCCTCATCTTTCCCTCATAGAGTGTCTGGGGGGATGGAAGCACTCACCCTTTGGAGAGTGGCTATGCGATTTAACCTCTGCACAGACAGGGCTCCTTTGAACATACCTTAGTTAAGGGTCAAAGTGTGAATGATGCTGTACTGATGACCCCCAACTACAGAAAAATCTAGCTGAGGGATGATTTAGCTTCAATAAGCCATAGAAATGATGAAATCAAACATGTAAAGTAATTGCTGATCGGAAACTTACCTTAAGCCATAGCAGGGCAGAGTGAGGAGCCGAAACAGTGCCAGGCAAACTCTTAACGGAAGCAGAGTGAACACATACAGAAAGGCATCCAGGCACAGAAAGATTCCAAAGACCATGAGCTGGATTTTAAAAGTGGAGACACAAAAAGAAAGAAAGAAAAAATTATTCTTTAAGTGATTATAGCTGAAAATATCAATCAAGGCATTTCTAAAATTTGTGAGAAATTCCCTTCTTATAACCTCGCTATGGGAATAAGAAATGAGCAGTTGTACTTGTGGCGAGAGTCTTACTTTAATGAAAGTTCTGTGCAAAGTGCACATGTGCCGTTGCTTCTTCCAGACCTTTTGTTACAGCCTAGAGCATTCAACTAGCAGCTCAAGAGCCAAGTCACACTTAGCCAGAGCTATGAAGCAGCTGATAGAACTTTCTGGGTACTTCCTTAACTATCAATACTGTAAACCTTTTAGACTTTTAAAATCTAACTTCGCTCTTTATGATTTTACTATTACTTGTTTATTAAAAATGTTTCATTGGTGGAAAAGAACAGAGCAAATATTGAGAGAAAATACTGTTGCTTCATATTAAAAATAAATATGTAAAATGATTACTAATTTAAACACAATTGCACGTGCATTCAAAATTAAAGTTATTCTGAATTCCCGAAGGCCTTCTGCTTCCATGGTTCTCTCTCCCGTCTTTCCTGGACACTTGCCACACCCTTTCCTTCTTAGAGGGGTGCTGGTACTTGTTTTCACCAGTTAAATTGAGGCCTCTCGTTTCACAGAGGTGGGTGGAGTCTTTTGAAGGCTGGGAGAAGCAGCCACACCTGCTACCGAAGTCTCCTATGTAGAGCAGTACTTTCTGGATGTGAAACCCACAAACAGGTAACACTCACGTGACCTTATGTAGGACTAACGGTCCTATACAAATATTAGTTAATATGCATACCATTCACTAAAAGGCTTATTAATTTTTGACAGGAATGTCACAAAATATATTACACACACACATACATGTATGCGTCAACTTATCTTAATCAGAATATACTGAGCCTGAGAGCTCCTTATTCCTACACACACACACACACACACACATTTCTGTTTTTTAAACTATTCACACTTACTATGAGCAACAATGAGAGCACAGTACTAAATATTAAGGATGAGCCATGTGCCAAAGACTACACTTGAAAAACTCTTTCCCCCTCTGAATAAGTCACCGGGCTGAAGACTGTCATTTTTTATTGTTTAGTGCAGCCAAGTTGGTTCCAACTCATAGCGGTCCTGTGTAAGATTTCTAAGGAGTGGCTGGTGAACTTGAACCACCAACCTTGCAGTTCAAACCAACCTTGTAGTCCTGCACATTAACCCACAGCACTACACCAGGGCCTGGAGACTAGACACCAAAATCACTGGGGACATCCAGGTCAATTGGGGTCTTAAAAGCTTACAAGTGGCCATGTAAGGCGCAACAGTGAAGAAAATCAATGACTCAAGGAAATAATTAGTACAAAGAATGAATGGGCCACGTGAATCTCAGCCTCCGCTACCCTAAGAGCAGAAGAACTAGTGTTACAGCATGACTAACAGCCCCCATTTAAACCAGGTATTTGCTAAGTCCTTTTAGCCCCGCCTCATCCTGACCCTCCCCCACCCCCATCTCAACCTATGGAAAATAAATGAACTTCTTACAGAAAAACCTTGAAGGCCAGAATGACCCAGGACCTGAACAAACAGGATAAACTTTAGCCCATCCATACAACCAAGATAAGGGTTTATTGGTGGGTTCACTCCCACTTACAGGATAAGGGTCTGTTGGAATTTAGCACCCCAGCTGACAAGACAAGTCTGTGTGTTCTAACTGCTCTGTGTTTTGTATAAAACCCAGTTCACTCCTCACTTCAGGGTCAGAGTGATTTGGGCTTGAGCTGAAACTCTGGCTGCCGGCAGTATACTTCGCTCTTCAGTTTTCCAGTTGAGTTCTGAATCGCGTTGCCGCCAACACTTCAGCACTTGGACACTCAGAACAAGTAAGCAAGGAAGGTGAAGGCAGGACAGCAGGGAGGCAAGGGTGAGAGACAGCGAGAGAGAAAGAGAGACAAGACAGACAGACAGACAGACAGATGGACACTGCCAAACCAACCCCGGTGAGATTTAGAAATGGTTTTACAGATGAGAACCCATGTGTGACATCTGAGAAGATGGGGCAATGGTGTGTGAGAGGGGGGCGGGAAGGGCACCAGAGCACCAGAGAAGTGTACGTAACTACTAAGACTAACACCTTCTCTTTAAATGCAGATCCAAAGGGCAGCCGCTCTGGCTGAGAGGAGTCTGGGAATCCTTTAAGGAAAACCAAAGTCAAATGGGCTATCTCCCTTACATTTCAAACCAGTCACATTAGCTGGGCACACTGCAGGCAGACCCTGGAGCTGGCACACCTGTGGCTGACAACATACCAGGTCTCAACAGTGGGATGGAGGGAAAGAAAGTGGCTTGTTCCAAAGACAGAGATGTCCTTGTGGGGTGATTTGGAAGTGACCAACCATGGCACCTGCTGTCTCATAAAACATAACGGCATTGTTTTCAACTCTTTACAGATGGAAAGCACAAGTCAACAGCATGTTGTTGTCAGATGCTGTTGAGTGGGCTCTGACCCACAATGACCCTATGCAAAACAGAATGAAACACTGCCCGGTCCTGAGCCAACCTCACAACTGGTGCTACTCTTGAGCCCACTGCCAATCCATCTCGCTGGGCGTGTTCCTCTTTTTCTCAAACACGACATCCGTTTCCAGTGACTGATCCCTCCTGACCACCTAGCAAGATTAAAATATCCTGGCCTCCTTTAAATGATGTAACTGGTGTGGGGCCACAGAGAAAGAAGCAGGATGGTCCCAGATACGCTTCTTCAGACTACAGGCAAGGGTCTGTCTGTCCTTCCCTCATCCTGCCATTCCATCTTCCTGTGGAAACCAGTGTCCTCCTTTATAAGGATTTCACCCTGGCAGGGAAGGCCTTAGAAATGAATGCCATCTCCTTGAGCTGACAACAACGTAGGGAAGAACCACCAGAAAACCACAGCATGGCAAAGCAGCAGAGTGGGATCAAAATACTTCAAAGGATATCGTGCCCGGGAATGTTTGGCTCTTCCCTCTTTCCCTTTCTTTGGTTGAACCAGCATCTCTCCTGTGATGGAAGACAGACACGCTACGCAGGGATCTGAGTAAAAACCTTTCCAGGGCTTCTGAATTCTCCCATGTGTTCCTCCTTCTCGCTGTCAACTCATTTATTACAGAGCTCTTATGTGCCAGAGACAGCAATAAGTTTATGTCCCATCTTCCTTTCCACAGGAGGAAGGGGTGAAAACAAGCAAATGACATAAAAACTCACTGTTTTGAGAAGTTCAAAGTCTTGCTAAGGAACTTACTGTTGAAAGACGAAGACACAAACTCTGACCACAAACCACAGGTAGGAATATACTTTATATTATAACTTACTACCATCCACCTACCCATTCCTACACGGAACCCTTCAACCAAGCAAAAGTTTCACTAAACAAGACTTTTACGCCATTTTTTCTTTTCCTTCTTCTTCTTGCTACACCTACCATTTTCTTTGTCCTTGTCTCTACTTCATTTTCTGAGAACCATGCTGGCCTTGCTAACTGATTCCATGACCTAATATATTGGCTGGTGCCTCAACGGGGTGGGCAGCAGGCTGCTAACTGCAAGGTCAGGAGTTCAAACCCAGCAGCCACTCTGCGGTAGTAAGACGAAGCTGTCTGTTCCTGTAAAGATCTCTCGTCTTGGAAATCCTGCCTCCGGTCACTGTGAGTTGGAGTCTATTTGATGTCAGCGAGTTGGGTTGGTTTGGGTTTGGAACTAGGCCGGTAACTCGAGAGTTGGTAAGTCAGCCAGGTTCCATCGAGGCAGGCAGGCTGAGCTTTAGTGCCTTCCTGGGAAGCCACAAGACGGTGGAGATAGTTCAAAGTGGCCACAGGAAGCTGTGTTGAGAGTATGTGAGTTGGAACACACTGGAAAGCTCTAAGTATCAAAGTGAACAATGCAGAGACTCAAGGTGATATGATTTCCTCAAAATTCACTCTCAGGGCACACAGGTAAAAGTATTTATGTGTAAAACATAACTATTTTGAAATAATCATTTTCTAAATTAATGACTCAGAACTGACTTGATGGCACTTAACAACAACAAAAATTAATGAGATTCTTCTTTAGAATTAAAAAAAAAAATCCCAAACCAAAAAAACTAAATAAAATGAAGAAAAGGCTAGAATGGCTGTCCCCTGGAAGAGCTGGTCTGGAATGACTACCTCCTACTTGGGCACTCACCAGGTATTCGCCACTGAATGTCCACAAGCTATTCTAAGATATGGGGCATTACACAAGTTCTCAGTTAAGTCATTAGGACATCTCTGTGCGAACATCCTATTTTACAGTCACTCCCGATAGAATTCATAGTTAAATCCTTATCAACAAAAACCTTCTGGAGCCCAAGAGCCATACCTCCCGGCTCTGTGGAGTATGCAGCCAGGCTGGATGGGGCGGTGCAGGGGGTCAGTGAGCGTCTGCCTGGGTGCAGGGTAGGAGCAAGGAGCTAGGGCCCCACAGAGAGCTGGGAGAATGCTAGGCGGCAGCGCTGAAGCCTCTGCAGGTTCTGAACCAGGAGAGAGCGGCTGCAGGCTGGTGGACAAGTGAACAAGCAGGAGGAGGAGATGCTGAGGGGACTGGAAAGCACCCGGCAGTCCCCCTGTTAGATCACCCTGGGGGGCTGAAGTCTTTCAAACCACTGTTAGTGTTGTTACATGCCCTGGCGCTGGTTCTGACTCAGGGCGATCTTATATAAGGTTTCCAAGGAGTGGCTGGTGGGTTTGAACTCTGACCTTGCAGTGAGCATTCCCGGGCTTATCCTACAGCACCTCATTGTTGTTGTTGTTGTTACGTGCCGTCAAGTCGGTTCCGACCCATAGCGACCCTGTACAGGGTTTCCGAGGGTGTAAATCCTTACGGGAGTAGAAAGCCTCATCTTTCTCCCGCGGAGCAGCTGGTAGTTTCGAACCGCTGACCTTTAGGTTCGCAGCCCGATTCGTAACCACTACGCTA